TCATAGTTATGTTTTTGTCAGGCTTGATGTCATTGTGTGCTACAGGGGTTGCTACCAGGTCAGAAGCAGGGGAGTACCAGTCACACCTGGAAAACAAGATATTTATAGAATCTGGGCTTAAAATGTTTTTTTCTGACTGACTGTAGGAGTCAAGAGTGGGTCTTTTACACTTATCCAAGGTTCCGAAGAAGGTGAAGCAGAAGTAAGCTATAACATTTAGTGTCTGCCTGGAGCAAAGCACAAAGAGTTGGTATAGCAGGGAGATCTAAAATGATGTGTACGTCCATGGATGCAGAAGAATAACTGTTGCTACAGTTGCTATTAATACAAATTTGTATTAACTGTTGCTATTAATACAAATTTGTGAAAGCATTGCAACACAGAGCCACTGCACTGGCAGCCTGGAGTGCTGGATCAGCCAGGCTGTACCCTGCCTGCTGCAGGGGCCACCAGCAGGCACCTCAGGAGCATCAAGGACAGGCCAGGCTTGTGTAAGATTTGCCCTAAGCATCTTTCCAGATCCCAGATATTTTTGTCTCAGGTGATTTCCAGACCTGCTATTGTTTGTGTGTTTAGGGTGTGCCTGCATTAGCATTTTAATTTTGAGTAGGGTCTTTTTCGGTGTGAAGCTTTGGCTCAGCAGGGCAGTCCTAGGGCACTCAAGCAGAGTCCTTCCAGTCAAAGCTAACCTGGAAGGTGTCCTCCAGAACAGCTCCTCATTGCTCCAGCCCCTTCTGAGGGTGCCCAGAAGATTAGATCAGAATGCACTTGCACTGAAATAACCTCTCAGAAACAGCCAGTGCAGCCTGATGTAGTTGCCACCACTTGCCTGATCCCACAGGTCTAACTTGCTAATGTGGTGCAGCTGTAGCACCCCTGAATATTTCACTTCCAGGGATGTTTTCAGGCCCCTCTTGAACCCATGTAATATTCTGGGAGGCTGGCATGTTTTGTTTGTTTTTTTTTTTAGCAAAATGTGTACAAATCTCGTAGCTTTTGTCTGGACTCCTTGTATTTAGCCAGGCTGCTGCCAGCTCCCTTTGGCGATCTTGCTTTTGTGTTGGACAGGCAATGGGTCTGATCCTCACCCTCTTCTCTGCCCATGGTTATGTGGAGGGCAGAGTTTTCTCCTGTACTTACTTGGGTTTGTGATGCTCAAGGACAGGATAAAATTGAATTCAGTGCTTTAGAAAAATCATCATTTCACTTGGCTAGTATTAAAGTATGTCTGATACCATGAAGTCAGCTGAAGTTGAACAATTTAATCTTCTCTTAGCAATGATTATAAGGTAATGAGTGTAGTGATAACTTGATTTGTGGCTATGTAAATTGACTTCAGCAAGTCTTTTGATGACGTTGACAGTTAAATGTTTTCACTTAGCAATTTTAAAAGCAAGTTAGGCTAAGGCAGTTTGGCAGGAATTACAGCAGAAGAATAAAAAGCTGTTTAGGAAATCATGTCCAGAGAGAAGTCAATGAGAGCTCACTGTTAAAACAGAGGGATGGCTACAGCAGCATTCCTCAGTGTCTGCCTTGGGCCTAGCACCAGAGCACATTTTCATTAATCATTATGTGACGGAACAGAATGTGTTTGCCTATTAAATATGTAGATGACACCATGCTGAGAGGGGCTGTGAGGCACTTTGGAGACGGGAAGAGAACTCAAAAAATGGAGACGTGATCTGAATAGGAGCAGGTGTGAGGTATACATTTAGGCAGGAATGATGAACTGCACAAATGTGGGACAGGGAATGTTGGCAGCTTCTTCCAGGCTCTACCTTTCCCTGCAGACTGCTCTCAGTACTCCAGATATTAGTGGCACACAGAGTACCCTCAGCCACTGTTGTTTTTCTTTCTCCAGAATTTGTCAGGGCTGGGCTTGTTGAGGCTCAGGTCTCAGGTGGACACTGAATTCTTTAACTGTGTTTCCTTATGAGGCCCTGAGAGTGACCATTGGACACTGAGCTGGTGACACAGCCATGCACACAGAGGCTTCCCTTTATATACATGGAACAAGTTTCCTGCACACAATGTCATGTTTTCCCCCACTGGTTGATGCCATCTGTCACGCTGTTTGTAACACTGATCTCCTGGGCAGGCTCAGAAGCTGCAGGTATTAGCAATTTTGCTTGTTCAATCATGTGCAAAGTTTGTCCAAGTCTTTGAGAAACAATCAGTTCAATGTCACTTCTTCCTCAGAGGGTGATCTAGGAATGCCCAATCTAATATTTATGGAAATACTGTAGAACATGCAAATTTTTTCTGGCCAGTTGGTGAGCAGGGGAGGGTAGCCTGCAGAACATTCAGGAAGTCAAGCTTTGCTTGACTTTGCTTTGCATTACTTTGTCCAGTTTGGTGAGACTGTAGAGAATGAGAATCAGAGCCTAGCAAAGAAGATTGACAGGGAAGGGTTAATCTAACAACAAAGGGGATCTCTGAACAGTCTTCAAATGCATGCAGATACAATAGAGGGAATAATTTTTCCCCCACTTTCAAAGATTAAACTTTTACTGCTGTAACGAATGCTGAAGTTGTATGTTCTGGTGACACAGCTGTCCAAGCAGCAGAGATTTCCTGGAGAGATCCATCAGAGCAGGACAGACAAATCTTTCTTGGGAATGATGGAAGTACAGTGGTCCCGAGAAGGGTCCTGAGGCAGGGTTGGGAGTCTTTCTGTCAGGTGAGATCCAGACACATTACCTGTGAAGGGGAAATGGAAGTGAGCCTCCACCCAAACTTGTAGCCCTGTGTTTGAAATTTTGAATAAAGTATTTATAAGTGAAAGGTGTTTGCAAAAATGGAGAGCTGGATGCCTCTTACAGACAGATTTTCTTCCCTGCCCCCACCATGCTCTGATCTCTCTCCTCACTCATTTAGGTTTGCTTGTTTGTTTATTTGTCATGGAGTTTTGTTTACACTCTTTCCATCTTACCTGTTCCTTACTTGTTTTAGTATTACTCCAGAAAGTTTAAACTTTTAGGCATAGCATGTCTGTAGGAAAAATTTCTAAAACTGGGAACTAAAGCCACTCTCCTAAAAACAGTGTCAGAGAGCAAAAGGAGCAGTAATTTAAATTATTCAATAGAAAATGCAATTTTTCATTACATCTAAGTTTTGAAGTACATATTTAGGACATCATTGGCCAGTATATCTGTTGAAGAAATTCTGGTCTGTTTATTTTATGAGCTTATAATTAATTTCAAGGCTTTTGTGCACAATTTTCTTTCTCTTTTCTTTTTATTAAATATTTTAACAATCAAAATAATGTATAGCAGAAAAATTTACTGGGAAAATTTGTACTGTTTGTTACAATTTCTTTTCTTTATGGTTCAGTACAGTAGATGAAAGAGCAGTCAGCATTCAAATTTTAAATACTTTAAACAAGTATTCTAAGGTGTGAATTGTCATAGGAAAAGATATATATTATTGGGATGTATAGATAGATGTGGCTGGATAATTGTTGTTATTTGACACATAGAGAATCACTCTTTTAGTATAGGTCAGATATCTTCAGAAGGTTCTGTGCTTAAATTTGAGTTACATCTTAACTTGTTCTGCTTTGTTTGATGTAGTCTGAAATATTTAGGTAAATATGTAATGTGAAATATGTAAGCTGTGCAAATTCTCAATAAGTGTAGATTTGAAGGCTGAGCATGAGAATTTCAAGACCTTTTCCTTTCATTCAGCACAAGTAACTGTTATTATTTTGAGTAACTGTGCATATGTGGTGCTACACAGATGTCCAGAGTCTCCTCCTTAATTTAACCTTTGACCTCAACAGGATGTTTGCCTAGGAGAGAGAATCCCTTGTGTGAGGAGTATACCTGTCTGTTCAAGCTGGAATGCCATGGTCTAGGCAGATTCAAACAAAAAATTTTGTATCTACTGAACTCTAAAAAGTAGTTAATATTAACTGAGCAGTAAAGTTGAGAAACATAAAAATTGCAACTGCCTTCACTAAAGTAGTATTTTTAGGAAAAACAAAAGAAAACATGGTAACTAACAAAATAAAAATATTTGTGAAATTCAGACTATGAAAGGAAGTTTTCAAAAGAGATTTAAAAATGTATTGTTGCATTTCTAAAGACTATGGTACTGCTAATTAAATTAATGAGAAGGAAAAGAGATGCTCAGTGTTTGCTTTGTTAATGTGCAAGCATTCACTATGATAGAGTCTGTGGAGGTTAAAAGTAGCAAAATCTCTTCAAACTGTCATGTTTTCAGAAAAACTCTGCTATTCTTAACTACATGAATCGTCATTCTTTTTGCACCTGTTCAGTAACAGTAAATATTCTTATAAATAAATGTGGCTACAGCATAATAATTAGCATGTAATACTGTTTGTGAAGATTTGTATTCTGTCTTGAAGGTGCTCATTGGAAATGTTCAGTGTTTATTAGGCCTTTGAAAAATACTAGAAATACCATCTTCATAGCTGATGCTTATTTAACACTTAATTAATTTAAATTACTGAGGGAAAAGAAATATTCTGGTTTATGCTATATTTTGGAATAATTCTATTCTTCTGGCTCAAATGTAGCAATCTAAAAGAGTCTCCAACCAGGCAATTTGGAAAATTTTTCAATTTATATATGTCTGGGTTTTTTTCACACCTGGTTGGATTTTTCTTACCTGTCACCATGACAGTTATTTTAAATAATTTAAGGTATTTAAGTTTGAAAAGCTAGAGTTAAATTAATGTTGTTTTATGAAAAACTGGTATCCCTTAAAATTGTTTGCTTAATCTTGTCATAATCGAAGGAATGAAGCGATGAAGTTTTTTTCTACTAAGTCTTTTATAGGCGTTTACTGAAATAATTTATCACTCTTTCTACATATAATTTGAGCTAGATTGAATTAATTTATGAATCAATATGACCACTTACCATTTTATATTTAATTATTTTAGTTGAGACTGGGTTTGATGTGAGCGAGTAAGTTGAACATTTTGAACATTGAACTGAAGGGTAAAAGTGTTCTTTCTCTCTTTACCACGGCAGAGTACAGTACAATCCACAGCCCATCAACCCCCATTAAAGACTCAGATTCAGATAGATTGCGTCGTAGCTCAGATGGGAAATCACGTGGACGTGGCAGAAGAAACAATAATCCTTCACCACCACCTGACTCTGATCTGGAGGTACTATGTATTAAATGTCTTTGGCCTGTTACAGAACTTTTTTTTTATTTTATTTTCTCATTATTTTTATTAACACAAAGAAGTGTTATTTACACGTCTAAAATAAAGTGGCATTGAAACTTCCTTTTTCCTAACAGTATTTTCATAGAAAATAGGATTTTTCTTCTAAAAAACGTTCTTCAGGAAGAGCTTCTACTTCCTTGGAAAAATACTGGGTGTTTCTTTCTCCTTTTGATTAAACAAAGCAAACAAACAAACAAACCAAAAGAAACCAAAAGGGGAAAAAAAAAAAAGAAAGAAAGAGAAGGAGCAATCTTTTCCCAAGGCAAAGAAAGGTTTTCATTTGGACAGGAGACACTTGTAGCACAATAGTGGGGTTTGTTCTCTCATGCTCTGTTCACATTCCTCGCAGTGGCCCAGGGTTTATGTTGAGAACACATCTCCAGTGACACACCACAGCTATAAGTGTCCACAGTGCATTACTTTTCCTTTGCAGAAGCTTACCCCATTTGTCATCATGGGAAATACAATCTCACCAGGATTTAAAATGTTTGTATTTGTACACTTTATTTTTCATTAACTTACCATTTTTTGTGTGGTCAGAGGACAAATTTAAAACACGTATTTTCCATTGTCTCTAAGCAAAAGAATTATTTTCTGATGCCATAAGTTTTATACATACATCATCCAAGTTCGTAGTTTTTGTTCTTCAGATGCCTAAAATGCATTAAAATTAACATAAGGGAAATAAAGTGCTTAGCAGCAATCTGCTTTGTTTTGGTTTTAGAGGTAATTTTCAAGGGCACTTACATGAATTTTTGTAAGACTTTTGTCTTGTAAGACTTGCAGAAATACGGAATTCTAACCCTGAATATTTACTTTTCAGATGCTTCTCTTTGTTTATTTCTTAGAGATAGTTTCTATCTGACATCAAGCTTCAAAAATTACATTGTACAGTCTCATTTTCTGTGTATATTTGACTATACTATAATTCTGTTCTAATAGAAGGATTTGATATAATAGCAATTATAGTAAAAAGCTAACAGATTGTATTACCCTACCCTGGAAAAAAAAAACCAACTTGTTACTATTGAAAATAATTGGCAGGGAAGCTATGGTTTTAATATGCAACCATATCAGTACAATTTTCCCATTTGTGTGCTTACTGATTCAAATTTTAACTTTCCATTTCAAGTATTAGCTTCACAAAGGAACACATTGATTTGATTCTCTTTTTACAGAGAGTATTCATTTGGGATTTGGATGAGACAATCATCATTTTCCATTCCTTGCTTACAGGGTCCTATGCTAACAGATATGGAAGGGTAAGTGTCAAGAAACTGATGAAAATTTTCTGTAATATTTGCTGGTTTATGGTTGATACACAAGGAGTACCAGAACATTAATTGATATTTAGAGGCAAACTGGTACTGGCCTTACAAGACAAAAAAATACCAAGCTGTTTCACATGTCCATGATTTGCAGTTGCTCAGCTCTTGTATTCACTACATATTTAAATAATGTTGGGATACTCAAAGTTAGTACTTTGACCATTTGAGGTTTGGTTTGTAGATACAGGTTGTCTGAAACCTGTTGATATCATCAAAATCTGCAAAGATCTGCATCCCCTCAGAGAGTGAAGAACTTCCAGGAATGATTGCTATGATGGATTGGCTGTGCTCTGTATTGAGAGGGAAAGAGGAGGAATTCTTTTGGACATGGCCAGATTAGTCTAAAATTTTTTGCCTTTGATTTTTTAAAAATCTAAATATTGACTGATGTTTTTAAAAGTCTGCTTATGAGTCAAATCTTTATATTATGCACAGTCTATAAATCATAACTGAACTGATGAATATGTCTACAGACAGCAGATTTCCTTGGTAATTCTCAGAAGAGAAACATGATTTTAGGTGAATAAGAACAGTTTATGAATGGAATGTCCTTATGAGATCAAACTTCTTTTTGCTGGGATTATATTTGAAAGCTAACAGCTTGTGCTAAAATCTGTTACAGACTTTTATGTTCACCTCCTGTGAGTTATAACTGGAATGTGATTTTTTGTTAACCTCAAAAACTTCTATGCGTAAAGAACAACTACATAGTTTTGTCTGGCTTCATGTAATGCCTCTGTGTTCTTGTAGAGCTTCTATTTAGCACTAAAAGGTTTTACCCTACACCCAGCTGAGTGAAGGGCAAAGCTACCTCCAGTTCAGTCCGTGCCTGGGTCAGGTCTCAATAGATTTTTGCTATAATATCTATAAAAATCTAAAGCAGTACTACTTTGCAACCTTTCTTACTTGTTCAGGTAAGGTTTGTTTGCAGAAATGTTTACTGTAAAAACAATGTATCTGTTTGAGGAATATAATTAGGTTTTTTCATTATATGTCAGTAAAGCAAGTTAATTCAGCAGCCTTGGTTTCCTAGGTGTTGTTAGTTTATGTTCAGTTAATTCAGCAGCCTTGGTTTCCTAGGTGTTGTTAGTTTATATTTAGATAATAAAAAGAAACTAGAACTTAAATGTTTCAACAATTATTGTCTGGATATGTGTGGACAAAAGCACTTATAGAAGAGTATTAAATATTTACCAAAAGTTGTTTTCCATTTTTCAAATTAAACCAGCTTTTGTGTGGTACCCCAAAATCTATTACAATTTGGTTCAGAATGAGGAGAACAAGTCCAAGTGCTTGCAGGAAAGCTCAGTGACAACAGAATCTCACCACTGGCTTTTGGCCAGCAGAGTAGCACTGGAAAAGCCTAATTAATTAGTCTCTGCCATGGAAGTACTAATGTGAGCATATTTTTTCCATTTGTTACTAGTTCCCTGTAGTGGATTCATTAATTAGGACCTGAACATAAACACTTTATTGCTGGGTGGCTGAAGTTGAGGAAAGTGGCTGGGATTCAGTTGCAAAGAGATATAAATACGTACGCTGCAGGGAGGGGGCTGACTCCTGCTTGCAGCTCCATCACTGTTGGCACTGTTTACATAAGAAGTAGCTTTTGCCCAGCTGGCTCTGGTTTCATGGCATCTGGCACAATATTCCTGCATTGCTAAATGACAGCCAACTGTTGATGTTGAGAGGAATGATGGCATTGCTGCTTAATCTTTGGATAAATATGAAATCTTTTTGGTGAGGGGTAGCAACATGCCTGTCCATGGCTCTCAGATGATGGCATGAAACTGTGCCATTTTGTTTTTGTTTTCCTAAGGTTTCATTCAAATCAGAGTTTCTCTTGGGCTATTGACAGCTTCAGACAACAGTTAGTAATTGCCAAGGATGTTAGAGAGACAGTGTCAAATGTTCAAAGCAAACATGCTAAAACATGAGAATTTTAGGGTTTGTTTGTGGCAGCAGAAGGTGCATGTTTTTAAAAGAGGGCTTGCCTGTGATTAATGGCATTTAAAGTAAGAAATCTGGACCATAAGTTAATCTGAAAAAAAAAGAAAGTTGAGGGGAATTATTATTCTTTTCACCTGTATTCTTGTTTATGAGCAATCCAACATCATGTTCTCTTATAAATCTGCACTATGGTGAGGGCTAGAGATGCCCTTTTAAAAAATTAAATCTAGGGTGATCACATAATCATTAAAATACAAAAGCTGGATCTTCAAACAAACAAAAATGTCCTAATTAAATAATAGGGGATTTGGCAACTTGGCATTCAGCTCTTTTCATAATGCCTGAGCGAGTTTCATGGTGAATGACTATGAATGATGTTCAGCCTTGCTGCTGAAGGGATTGATTTTCTTTGCCTAATTCTCTACCTCATTCTTCCTAACTTCTTCCTTGTGCCACCTTTTTCTGTATCTTCTTACTTTTTAATCTGTTTTTATCACCTGCTCTCCTTTAGCTGCTATTGTGCTCTATTTTCCTCCTGCTTTTTTCCTTCAGTTTTGTTGTAACATAATGATACCTTTATTTTTCAGTTTACGTAGTCACGGCAAAAATTACTCCATAAAGCACTACATTTTTATTTAAGGATTATTTGAATTTAATGGAAATATATGAAACTCTAAGAATATGCCCTTCCAGAAGATTAGACCAAAAAACCCAAAACATTTTCATTTGCTTTAGGAATTTTTTAACTATGTACAGAGAGAGATGTATTGATCAAATATAATGTTGCCAGTTAGTTTAATTGACATTAGGGCTGATTAAGTTTTGGCATTTGGAAAAAGTTGGAGCCCTTTAAGATCTTGGAGCAGGTGAAAATACATCTCAGTATTGGCACAGAATACTGTGGTCTTGACATACATTTCCATTCCCAGTGAAAGCAGTTATATGCAGAGGTTTTAAAGGAATTTTCCTTTAAATTATAAGCTATTTTATTGGGGTTTAATATACTTTAGAGATAGAGAAAAACAAAGCCTGGTTTCACTTAACCCTTCATTTGTGACCTGTAGGCTTAAGTGGAAAATAAGCCTGGTACCCAAAGTGAACTTTCCTGTTTTTCAGCTTCTTGTTCCTTCACCAAACAAAGAAATCAAGTAGGTAGAATTTAGAAATGACATACAGGCAATGTTTTGGCTCCAATGCCAGTATTCAAAACAAAAGGCCTACTTAAGCAGTTTGACATTGGTATTTCTTTTCTTTAGTTAAACTGTACCTCCCTCAGAGATTTGTACCTGATTTTGACCATACCTGAAAAGACGCTGACTGAACCTGCAAATCCCAGGCAAAAAGAGGAGATTGTTAGCTTTCCTACTCATTGTGTGACACCTCACAATAATTAGTTAGCAATTAGTGGCTTAAAATTGCAAAAGAAGGTTGGGTATGGGATTATTTTTTTAAAAACCTTGTTCTAGCCTTGTCTTTTTTTAAAGTTTACAGCCCCCACTGTAATGTCTGATGGCAGAGTTTGATATACTATGATGCTTTAAACCGAGGTTCTTGTACTTTTCATTAGAGCAGTTGCAAGTTTGTGACTACACAGATATTTAAAATGCTAATGCAGATAATGTTTTTGCTTCTGTTAAATATGTAGTTACCAAGAGCCACAGTTTAACATAGTTTTTGTGTTAAGTGGAACTTCCTATACAAAAAGATTGTATTTAAACTAGGAATTAAGCTTTCTTTGAAAAACAATCCATTCAGTTTATTCTTTTAGCTTTTGTGTTATTTAATCTGACACTTTCAGTAGGTGCCAATGAGTTTCTTATATTTTTTCTGCCTAATTAAATTAACCTAATAAATGGCATTATTTTAGTATTGCTTTGGAGAAAACCATTCTGTTTTATTTCTGCCATGTAAAAATACCTTGGAGTAAAATGGTTAGAAAGCTTTACAAAAATCTCTTTTCACAGACTCAGAAATGTGATAAAAATGTTCAATAATAAAAAAAGCAAGTAATGTCCACTGAAATGTAAAATATATATTTGCAGCCATTAGTTTAAAATTAGTCAAATGGGTTCGTAACCAATATCATGCTCTGTTGCCCATTTATTCTGCTTTTCAAAATGATGTTCCTATTTAGGGATGGAAGTCAGAATGGAAATATTTCTATCTTGTTGCATTAATAGTTGATACTCAAATCTTCATTTGCATCTTAGACATGGCTAGTGAACTTCATTTGCATCTTAGACATTTAGCCCATCTAATTCCTTTAATAAATAGAACAGAGGCTCCTGTGAAGTGTCTTCTGTTACTGCTCAGGCACAAGAGAAATCTTTGTCTGTTTTTTAAAAAAAAAGAAGCCCAATGAACTGTAGGATGTGTAGGATGATGAGCTGCTAACTGGGCACAAAGATAAGCAGAAATGTCAAAATGTCAAAGGGAGAAAAAGCCTCAGGCCTAGCTAGAGAGAAAATACCACCTGCTTTCCACCTCACATGCCTACAAAAGTAAAGCAGAGGAAGGCACAGGTCTACAAATAGAACAATATTAAAACAGAGAGACAGAATACTTTTGTTCATATTTCAAAGTGTTTCCATTTGAACTAAGAAGCCAAAAATTCCTTTTTTTTTTTTTTTTTTTTTTTTTTTTTTGGCTGTGCCAGTTTAAATAAAAGACTTATATTTAAGGACAAAGTTCATCAAAATAGCATGATGCAATTTTTTTCCCATTTATAAGGGCTATTTTTTTATTCTAAAATCTTACTCTTAATGGATATGAGTTCAAGAATAGATGTTTTGTCTGCTCATTGTAACTTTGCTTTGAAATTTCAAAAATTCTTTCTCTGGATAGCAGTTCTTGGGTTTTGGCATTTCCAGAAGGCAAACAGGCTGCCAAATCACCATTCTTTTCCAGCTCTTCAGTACTGACGCATTTTGCCTTTCTAACCAGTAGTTACAGAAAAATGTTTGAAAGTTCAGAGATCATGTTGGAGCATCTATTAATTTGATTGAGAGGTGGAAAAAGAAACTAAGGACTGCATCTCTTGCTTTTTAACTGTGACTTGTCATCAAGTTTAGAATATTAGCTTATTTTAAGTAAAATATGGGTTGCCACTTCTTCAGTTCTATTTAAAATATAATTCCTAACAAACTAACATTATTAATAGAGGCTGTTGGGGGATAATATGACATGTTCTTTCAAACTTATGCTCCTGTGCTCCTGGATAGACTTGGCATTATAAATGAGAAACTCTATATCAAATGTATGTATTAGGGTCTCTTTTCAATTTTTCAGATTGAAAATATATAAAACACCCAAAAAAATCAAAACAAGACAAACATCTGTAATGCGTTTGGTAACCACAATGCTGAACATGCTTTTTGAGTTTATTAGCTCAGTAAGGAGTAAGTTGTTATGGTAATTTCTGAAGAGAAGTTAAAGTGTGTTATGTATTAATAACAAACAATAGTTTTGTTCACTCTGCATGGGTGGGCCAAACTGGAAACATAATTAAACCTTTTTGACAATCAAGGAGTGGTTTTAAATATAATTACCATTTGCAAATAAAACATCAATAGTTCTTTGCTTTAAAGTTACTAGGTATTCCCAGGACTGAATCCTGTCATTTGTGACCAGTTTATTTTGAGTAACAATATTATTATCATACCCCTGCTTGATCATAAAACTTGTGGACAGTTGCAGAATCTGGAGAAGTTTTAGGTGAAATGGATTTGCCCCTTCTGCACAGAGCAAAGAGCCAGTGCCAGGGATGCATGAAGGGGACCACAGAAGTCCCACTGCAAAATCAAGGAGTCAGTTGAGTTAAAGTCATATTTTTGAGTGTTACTGGGAAGTGTTGTAGTGAAGTGTTAGGCAGTTACTGAACTGAAACTGACAAAGCAGATGTTGCATTTGATACAAGTAGCATGCTATGAAAAGCTGTCCCTCCAGTTTGTATTTGGGTATGTGTGTTAGGCACAGTATTGATGGTGTACTTGCTTAATTTCTTCTTTAAGGATCCTCCCACTTCTGTGTCCCTTGGACTCCGAATGGAAGAGATGATTTTCAATTTGGCGGACACACATCTATTCTTTAACGATTTAGAAGTAAGTGTTCATTCTTTTAAAATGCACAGAGATGATCTAATATTTAATATTTGTCTGGTTTTCTGTGTTGTTAGATGCTTTGACAATTATTTGCAGAGTTTCAATACAGAAATGCTTAGAAAATAGCTATATAATTTAGTCATTAGGATATATAATAATATCTACACTAATTGTCTTCACTGACATTCAAAGGTTACTACAGTTTAAATGGTAGAGTTTTGTCCTCACAGGTTTTAGCACTTATGATGACAGTAGACAAGTTTCAGAAGTGGATACACTGAAGGAACCTATAAACATACAGAATTCAATAGTCTGCACAGACCATTAAATATTAAACTCCACCTTCTATAAACAGTTGATGGCTGGGTACAGATTTCTTGCTTACGTGCCACGGTGGGCAAGTGTTACCTTATCCCCGAGGGATATCATAAATGTTGTATGGGCTGTCTGTGGGATGTTCCTGGGGCTGCTGTGCCTGCAGCAGGCACGGGCTGTTCTGAGCCAGGGTGCCTCTGCCTGCAGCAAGGAGCTGCGGGTGCCTTGCCAAGGGCTTTTTTAGCCTACATAGCCTATGGTTTGGCAACACCTAGGAGATCCTTCCAAAGCTCTCCAAACTGCTGAAAGAGACTGTCACTGTAATGCCTGGCTGTTTCATCTTAAAAGGGAAAAAAGCAATTTCTGATCACATTTTAATAACGCAAAAACATGAAAACAGTCAGATTTCTTTCCCATCATAGTGAAGACAGCTGTTTATTTAAAATCCAGCTGTTAAGCAAGCTTGTGGTGGGGCTGCCAACACACATTAATCATCAAGTTGTTGTTTTGCTAGATTTTAGAATAGCGTGTTATTCCAGACAGCAAAAGAATCTAAAAGATTCAAATGCAACTTTTGCTGATCAAAGTTAATTGGCAGCAATTGGCCTTTAAATATTTCCTGATGTTTCCCTTTTCGAAATCAAGCAAAATACACCTTATTCAATAGATGAGCCAAAATAATTTGAAAAATGCCAGTGTGTGATAGACCTCAAATGTGGTTTGTCCAACATCTGTCCTATATTTTGATTTCTTTTCATCTAAAAAGAAACCACTCACAGATGATTTGGCATCTAAGAATGTAATGAAATTATTGAACATGCTTTTTTTTTTTTCTTCCATTCCTTAGAGTATTTATTTTTTATACTTACAGTAAAATAGCTGGTTTCTTTAAATTTTAAAGTAGCATTTTCTTCCATTAAGGTAGCAGTATTTAAAGATATGATTGTTTTGGACATAAGAAGCACCAATGAGTTGCATGTATAAGACTTATTTTTCAGTATTATCTAAAAATATAGCAATGCTAGTGATTTTCCAACTCTGTTTCTGATTATATTTCATTTTAACCAGAGCAGAATGAAAAAGTGCTACTCTTTCTGTATTTAAGTATATTTAATAAAGTTCAGTGTGTTTTCATTTGCTCTGCAGAGCCAGATATGTAGCTACTTCATACAGGATTGTCAACCTCACTGACTTTAATGGAAGTTAATCAAATGCATCGTAAGGGTGGCAGATTATCTTCTGCTAATAGACATGTTGCAGCCTTAACAATACAGCACAGTAGTTCATTCACTCAAGAACTTTGTAGCTGTGTATGAGAAAACAGCTTCTGGTTCATGGAGGCAGAGAAGCTCACTGCTAAGCCTGATTCTTTGCATTTCCACCATAACAAGCCAGTTTATGTTGTATGTCCAAACTGAAGTGTAATAGTTTGTGTACCCTGGTCTGCCTTCCTCATACATAGGGGCACTCAGGAGTGAGCAGTTGTGTGCATGTCCTCGTACACCAGCCCTAATCCTCATGGCTGGGGAACATGGGCTCCAGTCTGAGGGATCGTGCCTTGTCCAAGGGGTGAAGAGCACATTCAGTGAGCGTAGACAAGCCTTCAGGTACACTTCCTTTGTGGGAAGCAGCATGTAAGGACTAGACATCATCACAGACTGGGGTTTTCAGTTCACCAGCAGTGACAGATTTTTGAACATGTCACAGAAATGTGGTGTTCTTGAAGGAGCATATCCTTCTGGAACCACTGTCATTCTTGTGAGCATCACCATTGAACTAGCAGGGCCTGCCAGTTTCCCAAGGGCTGTGACCTCAGGGCAGATTCCTCACATCCATCTCAGAAACTCAAAAGACCTTCCTTGTTTGGTGATTTGGAAGTGCAGGCTGCTCACTGCTTGACAGGCTTTCAGGAAAACTGTGGACAATTAGGTTTGGATATGCCTCAGGCCTGAAGCATCTATTCTCACTGATGAAGAACTAAGTCTGAAAGATCTAGCTCAGGTCTGAGCTTTCCAGATCATCAGCATAAGTATCTGGGCTGTTGGGATTGAAAACATTTGTAGGCACATTGCCTGTGAGCTGCAGAGCTTGGGTACTCTTGCCCAGCAGTAGTATGAAGAATAGTAAAGCTGGATTTGGAACATATCTTACCCACAGAGTAGATGTGTCTTTGAGCCTAGGCTTAATTCAAAGTGGGAACCTGAAAGCTGATGCCCTCTGCCTCACCCAGGCTCAGAGGGAACCCTTCTTGGCACATAGAGAGGCATCTTTTAAATCCAGGCAATCATCTGTCATAACTTTGGCCTCTGATGCACATTTTTCCAGATACCACAAGTTAATGTTTTTAAATAAAAAAATCTTCTTTCATCCAGCACATTCCAGAAAACTCTATAATCAGAATAGCTCTCTTGTTATCCAAGGGAAAATATTTTTTCGTCTTATAAAATACTGAAGATGGAATGAACATTTTGAATGCAAAGGGCAAAGTTGCAGCAGTGAGCTCTGAAGCAGAGTTTGATTTATGTATGACCTAACTGGCTTTTCAAAGCTCAGCCTAGAGGTTTAGGAATGTTATTAGGTTAAATTCTAAACTTCGGCAGTCAATTTTTAGTCTGTGTAAAGTGAATTAATGCCAATGTGAATCAGTTGAATTTAGTAGGGGGTACAGCCAGGTAAATGGATCATCTATTTTTATGTATGTTGTTCTTTATGTAATAATAATAATATAATAATAATAGTAATTGAAAATTTCAAACTCATTGAAAAAAATCAGTCAGACCTAACTATCTAGCTTTGAAGTCAGTATTCTGTTTCTGGATGTGTGAACTACAGTTAGATTTGCACCCTTGTACTGGTTCTTATTTTATTGCTTTGAAAAAAAATAAAATACATTGCTTATTTCCTTCACTTTGCACAGATTTATTTAGAGTAATTAATTCCAAAGTGATGTAATAGCAAATAATTTAGGAATATTCCTTAAACAGCATGTTAAAGGGGTATGACATGATTTTTAACATACTGAAAAGAAAAATATTAATGTTTACTTATGTATAATTTGATCTAAATACCATAATAAACAGTATTTTCATGCAGTAATTACCAGTAATTTCATAATGAAATTATAGAAGTGTACTAGGCTAAACAGTAGAAGGTAGTGCATTGTTCTAAAAATTTAGATTCCAAAATCTGCATTTGGGCTTCTGAACAAAAGCTTTTGGTTTTCAGTATTGAAGTTTTATATTTAAATGTCTCATGCTCTCTGTTTTATAGTTGAATTTTAATTGTGTGGAAGAGGAAATAACTGCATTGATGTAGTGCCCTCAAGAGAACCACAGTTATCTCATCTGAAAAGAATGCTTGATTTTGCATGCTGATTATGTTGTGATAGGGATAATAAGGTATAATATTTTAAAGGTGTATATGGAGCAATTACACATATTATGTATTTTAGGAGGTATGCTCCAGTGTTTTAGGGAAATGAGCAACTTGATGATAGGACTAAAACGTGACATCCACTGAGGTGATCAGCTGTGGTGCAGGTGTGTTCTACAGCAGAGCAGGGGAACGTGGCTCACAGGGGGATCCTCAGCCAGGGAAGCCCCAGGGGAGCACAGAGACCCACCAGGAGCCAGCTGCTCTTATGAGAATGTCTTACTCTCCTGGCATGTGCGAGGCCAGGGTAATGGTGGCCAATCCCTCTTCCCAAAGTAGGCAGCCCTGGTGAGCACTGTGTCCAGGAGCACTGTGGCCAGGACAGGCAGACAGGTCATGGTGTGGCAGTTTGCTCAGCAGGGTGCACAGGCAGGGTGACAACTCAGAGGAGGGACATCCGCTGGCCAAGGGCAGACACGTGAAGTCTACCAGCAACCAAGCATCATCCTGTAGCCATCTGCACAGGTCAGGGGCGCTCATCCCACCTGACTGCCAAGGCAGAATGGTGGGCACTCATCTGAGAGCAAAGGCTGCAGCTCAGATGGGGGATCTGCACCTCTGTCCTGACAGTGGCCAATGCCTCCACGCAGACAGGGCTGGTGAAGGACAAGACTGCAGTGCAGAACTCAGACTGCAGAAAGTGAATAGAGGCTTCTCCTGGGGCAGGGACAGGACAGAAGACCTGCATGCCAAAGGTGTGCCAGGTGGAGGAACTCCTGTAGCAAGTGGCTGAGCTGCAGGAGGCAGCAGGAAGCCTGCATAGCATTGGGGAGGCTGAGAAGAAACTGTATAGCTGGTTCAGTGCAGTTGCATAGCTGCTTCCTAGTGCAATCTGCAGGAGACCCACAGCCCATGGCCAAACAGCCAAAACCTCTCCCATTGGCACACACAGAAGGGAGGGAGAGCAATAACATAGCAGAATGTAAGCAAGGACCTGCAGGAGGAAGATGCCTCCCCAAAATCTGAGGTGCCCCTGCAGAACTGCTTCACTGCTGTGCAGACTGACTAAGGAGAGACACATCACAGAGGAGAGACGCTGGAGCTGAGTAAGGAGCTTGACCCCATAACCCCCCATGTAACAATCACAGCAACTAAGAGAAGGTAAGAGGTGATAGTAGTCGGTAACTCAATTCTGAGAGTCTTATTTGCCAGCATCAGGTGCTCTCTAGAGAGGTGTGATGTTTGCCAGAGTCTTGTATTAGGGGTGTGTCTCTCGGGCTGTGACCCCAAGACAGGATGTCACCAATAGACTG